TTTATAGATAATTAATTAAAAGAAATTGTTTTAATAATGTGAATATATTAAATAATTTTTTTTAGTAATCGTGTTTTATTATTGTATATACAATACACAAAAAAAAAAGTAAATAAATATATAAAATAACTATTTAAAATTAAAATATCCAAAAAATATGCCCAAGATATTAATATTTATTAATTAAAATAAAATATAAGATACATTAATAATTTACTGCATTTTGATTTGTAAACTTTAAATACTGACTTTACACATATTCTCGTACCACTGTGCCCGTGCACGATGTTAGTTTAAATGGCGCAGAAATCGGTTTTGCCACTCGTACGTTTGGCATATTTTACAAATGCATTTGACATAAATTTTAAAGGGCTTAAGTGCCACAGCGCTGCCTGTCCCATGCTGCCAGCAGGAGCCCCGGCCCACGTAATGTGCCACATGATAAGAAGACGACAGGGCCTACGACTAGAGCAGGATGCTGAGGCGTTTGCTGGGTCGTTAAATCTTTGCCGGGTGCGGACATAAAATAGGGCAATTACAGTAAAGATCATAAATTATGCGAAAGCCTCGCAACAAGTGCGCGATAAAAAAGAGACAACAGCCAAAAAGAAATAGAAAAGAGAGCACAACAAAAATTGCAAAATACAACGGGAAATGGGACAAACGTCAGACAATCATCAGTCACAGCAGCACTTGGGGGATTCCCGGATTGAGGAATGTGAAAATCTATTATAGGATTTTCGCATTTCTTTCGCTCTGCCACTTTAGCATGTGTGTGTGTGTATGTGTGTGTGTAAAGCTAACCAATCCAACCAAAGTACTTGGCACTGGCTAGTAGGTACTCAGTACTCGGTACTCAGTACTCAGTACTCAGTTCTCAGTACTCGTACTCAGACACTCGTGTCGTTTATCAACTGTCAGGCGAAATGCATTTCAGGAGCTGCTGACAACAATGCGATGCGAGTTGCTTATCCTTTTCAAAACCTACAGCTGCAGCTCCGACGTCTGCTCATGCAAATAGGTTTTACTGCTGGCGCATTAAGTGTGTGCGATTTCCTTTCAACAAGGACAATTTAATGCAAAAATGCATGCTTGACAGCCCAGGCGGGCAAGGGAGACAGCCAGGGAGCGAGTGCGAGAGAGAGAGAGAGAGAGAGAGAGAGAGAGGGACGGGTTAAGCGGCACTTCAGTTATGAATAAATAATCGTACCTATACGAACTTGACTCTTGAGCACATTGAATCGCATCGGCAGCGGGCTTTCATATTGAACTCGAGCTCAGCGTTCTCCGAGAGCGCTTAGTGAGGCGTGTTATCGACGGCCTTGCATGCCCGCACATGCCCATAAATGTCAATTGGCCACGCAAGTGGCAAAGTGGCAGCTGGCAAGTGCCAAAGTGGCATGCGGCAACAAGTCTGCCTTGTGGTAATGGCTAGGAAATGAAATGCGGCTGCGCCTGCAGTTCACGCTGTGTCATAATTATAGATTATCGCTTCTTTTGTGCAATATGCWTGAGCTATTTAATGGTTGGGAGAACAACTTGCAAATTTATCAAATTAGGATAGATGATAGAGTATTGAAATTAAACTAAATTTATTATTATTTATTAAGAACCTTAAAAGGAATGCTCCAGGTGTGGACCTTAGCGAGCGTAAGATAATATTGCTGGTAAAATCAAGTTAAAAGTTACTTGAGGTTTACTTCTAACTTAAATAATAATTGTATTAATAACCCATGCATTTTATTGCATCTCGCTTTTTAATTTTATTTAAATTTTTTATTCAAGTTTTCTGGTAAAAACTTTTATATTATAGTCTTGAATACAATTAAGAAATTTTTAACAGAAATTAATAAAATTTTATGGGAGCATATTAACATAAAATCATATTGTTGGTTAATACTAAAAAATTTCTTATTATAGATTGATATAAACATTAATTAGAAATCCGTTTTATATGATTATTAAAGAAGCGCCCACCTTGGGCCCAAAAAATTTTTTTTTAAATATATAATATACACAAAATATATAAATATAAAAAATAAAGAATGGATAAAGGTTTATTTTTTCAATATTTTATTAAATTGATATATTAATTTCATTTTAATTACCTCTGTTAATTTTAATTTTTTATTTGTTTATTCTTTGACTAAATTTCAGTGAATTATTATTTTCTATTAGTTAAACTATTAAAAATATTTATGTTACCATTTTATTTAATAAATTCAATTTGTCTGCTGATAATTCACATACAATCCTGTTTTTATTTTTTTCTGCTGCCATCGCTGTTAACTGAAACATGCATGACAATTGCTTTAAGCAGACGCAAACAGCCAGAGGAACAAATCGTAAATTTAATTCGAATCAAAAGTTCGCATAGCGGATGAAAAGCGCAGAGTAGTCCGCAAGCTTTTCATTGGATGCTGCCGTTTCCCTCGGCGTCTGTCAGAAAAATAAACAAAACTGCAAATTTTATCGTGCTGAACGTTTATGCGCAAATTGCTTCCAGGTTTCGCAGCGCTGCCTTGCTGCGTGTCTATCTGTTTCCTTATCGAATTTCAGACAGCGGCAGACATTGAGAATGATGCTAGGACAACAGACTGCCAGGAAGGCGGGATAGCAGGATAGCAGGATAGCAGGATACCAGGACGTTAGGACGTTAGGACAACACGCCGCAGCTTTTGACAATGGTTGACGATTTTCCTTGGCATGGGAAAGTTTCATTGCTCAAGGCGTGAAATGAAATCGACAGTAATTTGTGTTTATCTCACTCCATATTTATACATATATACATTTACTAAACATGTTTCTATACAGACACATATATTATTGTGTAACAATAACAATTGTCAGAAGTTGGGAGAAAACTTCTGCAGCAGGAAATTACTTTAATTTGCGAAGTTGACTTTATCAAACTAAACGATCGAACACAACCAACTTGTACGCAACTTGTAGTTGCCAGCCGCAACTTAGTATTTTCATCGATGGCTTAAAGTCAATAAGCCAACTTCATCATATTGCCATATGTCGACTTCTGTGGGCACCAGATGGATATGGAAATGGAAACGTCTAAGTCGCTTTGATGGCGCATAAGTAAGTGCCCATGAATAATTCATGACCTATTTATACAAAATCGAAATGATAATCGTGCACTTTAGCATTTAAATCAGAGTGAAGGAGACGGAGGAAGGGGATGAGGCAGGCCAAGAGAGGAATAGAAAGAGATGCTGCCGTTGGTTGACTAACGACAGAAAAGAGTGAAGTGGCAAACAAATTTACATAGCATTGGTGTGAACGACATTTCTAGATGTATAAATTATTAAGTAAAGCCATGTCAAATGGCTCAAGGGAAAACAAAGAACATTTTAGCTTTGCAACTGGCATCAGAAGATCTTGTCTAAATTTAACAAATATGTTCAGCTGCAAGGCTTTCTTTTAGCTCATTGTAGAGCTATAAAACAGAAGTTAATATATAGCATAAGCGAAAGCTAAAGCTATAAGTTAATAAAGCGTCTTTACCTATCAGATTATGTTATGCATAAGCGAATGCATTTTATCATAAATAATGAGCACACTTAAACATTTTTATTTTGAAATATCTACATAAAAGTTTATATTGGTATTTAAATTTTAATTACAGCTAATTTCTATATTTTTGAAAAAATCCTCAATTAAATTTCATTGAGTTTATTAAAAATATTTTTTATTTTTAATAAAGTTTT